ATCCTCCCTCCTCGGCCTCCCAGAGTGCTAGGATCACAGGCGTGAGCCACTGCGCCTGGCCTCTTGTGTTCTTAGGCATTGAATTTATTAATTTCCACGTAAAGTCCATACACCTCCTAAATTCTTAGTTAACAGTCGCACTGTTTGCTCTTAGAGAGCTGACTTGGATTCCTGTGCGAGCTTTTGATGTTTAACAGTTTTTTTTGGGTACTGCGTTTGTATCTGTACATGGTATGAAAAAATGGTTACTTCTGGTTTGATCACCAAGTTGTTTATAAATATTCGTTAATTAGATATTAAGTACTTATTGCTACTCTAGGTCAGGTAGATTGAAAGCTTAAAAAAGGAATAAAACAATGCATTCTTTCAAAGTGCTTATAATTTAAAATGGCAAATAAAATGTACAAAATAACTTTTTTGTGATAAAACCGAATACCCATTTCTATGGAAAATTTCTTAGCAAATTGGAATTGGAAGGAAACTTAACCTGATTTACAATAAAAAACAATATCTGCATGAAATGTGCAATAAATATATTCATATAAATAAAATGTCATAAATTCAGTAGAAAGTCTGATAGAAAAAGGATAAAGGACAGTTGATAGAGACATAAAACTTTAAGACCTTTTTGATAATATTCCTAAATAATTTAGCATGTCCTCTGAATTTACATTATGCTTAGTTTTTGCATAAGGGTATATACTAAGTTTATTATACACCGAGGTTCTGATACCAATTTCGGTTCTTCTTCGTTAAGAAACTGTTAAAAACCCTTTGTTTATTAAGCCAGTTTTTGTCTCACTTCTTTTTATTTTGTCAAAATTCTGCTGATCCTTTGTAGTGTGCTTTTCTTGCCTTTTCTCTTCTGAGACATGTAACTTTCTTGCATCAGGGCCTCTATTGCTATCTTCAGAATAGAAAGAATATTACCAGAACTTAGCAGACTACCCACATATGGATTTGCCATTCCCCCTCACCGAGATTACCAATTTTCCTTTTGTTAGATCTGTCTTCCTTTTTCAAGACTTTGTGTAGCTTCTTTTTAGCTAGCCAGTTTACCTTCTGCTCTTACCAACTCTTAATTTCATCCCACCGATAATATTAAGTATGTGCCTGCCACATCTCAAGTGTTTGAATGAATAAATAATTGGGAATGTAAGGTGAAATATCAGCAAACCCTCAGTCTTTATCATCTTTCATGCACTCTTCAGATCACTGCAGTCTGCCTTTTCCTTTGCTGCTATTAAAAAAAACCAGGTAAAGCTTACCAATAATGACATAATTGCTAAGTCCAATTTAAACTTTTCAGTTCTTATCTTACTTGATCTGTCCAGGGCATTTGATAGTATTTACCACTGGTTTTTAAATTTTCTTTCATTGACTTTTGTGATATAATTCTGTTGTATGGTGAAAATAAGGAGATGGTCAAAGTGTGGCTTCACAATTCACACAGATTATTGCCATACAAAGAGAATTTTTTCCCCTTAGGTTCAGAATGCTTAAAGAGGTTCACAATGCTTAAATAATTTGAGCAAATCCCACAGGGAATACACTTGATAGATGAGGTACATTAACCACATAGCAAGTAAGTTCCAAAATTATTAAAGTCTAGTTCAATTAGGATGGAAAAAGCCTCTGTGGAACATAAAGTCTAATTAAAGATTGAGGCATGCCTTTTTATGAGCAGTTTCTTGGGAGAAACTGGCTTGACCAACTCAGGGGAGATCCATGAACACACCGAAGGTCCTGCAGCACTAGTGGGTGGTGCTGGTAGTGTTGAGCGAGGCTTCAAAGCTCCAAGGCCTGTCGAGGCCTGAACTCTCTGTTTGAAGAAGTGGATGACAGAATGCAGCCTGTCGTGGCCTAAGCTCTCGACGTGTCAAACTCTTAACTTTATGTGTACTTTGAAGTCCACTAGTTGAGGTCAGAAACTTGTATATGGGTTCTGAAAAGGTGTGACGTAACATTTCTGAGAGGAGGAGGAGTTCCCCCCAAGTTCTCACAGATGGGGTCTGATACGATGTCACATTCTGGAGGGGAGGGGGGAATACACTTCCAAGTTCTTATATTACAGCAAAACATATCATTCATGTAGCAAACTAAGTGTTTTGGGTTTTTTTAATGTTTTTTTTCTTTTTTTGAAACAGAGTCTTGCTCTGTTGCCCAGGGTAGAGTGAGGTGGCATTATCATAGCTCACTGCAACCTCAAATTCATGGGCTCAAGTGATCCTCCTGCCTCAGCCTCTTGAGTTGCTGGGACTACAGGCTCACAGCACCACGCCCAGCTAATTTTTTTCTATTTTTTGTAGAGATGGTTCTCGCTCTTTGCTCAGGCTGGTCTTCACCTGTTGAACTCAAGCCATCGTCCTGCTTCTGCCTCCCAGAGTGCTAGGATTACAGGCGTGAGCTACCACAGATGCACTTAAACTAAGTGTTTTGAATCATTTCAAAGCTACATAACAAATTCTTCCTTGGTTTTTCTCTTTTAGTGCTTTCCTGCTTAGTCTCTCCAGCTGGTTCTTTTTTTCCTCCTCTTCGTCCAGCCCTCTTACGTGTTAGTATTCATTAGTGTTCTGATTTGGGGTTACAACCTCCTTTTACTCTATGTTACTTTCATTGAATGATCTAGTCCCCAGGATTTTATTGCCCTTTCTATTAATGACCCTAATTTGAGTTTCTTCCCACTGTTGAGCTCTAGACTGTCTCTGTTTGGGGTCCCATTAGTATCTGACCACAATATGTTGAAACCTGAGTTTTATTTTGTGTACCCTGTAATCTGCCTCATTGTTTACTCTTTATTTTACTATTTTGATTTAATTAAAATACCTTCCATTCAGTTGTTATAT